GACCAAGCGACGGCGATCAAGCGTATTCCACCTTTTGGAGAACATTTAAAGGCATTTGGCAGTCTACCGTACCGAGTTTAGCTGTCTTTCTGCGAGAACAAATGGGTGGATGATGCTGCGATGTGCCATGGGCTTGTACTACTTCAACGTGAAAATGCTGGAGCTGGTATTGTGGATCATATTTTTCAGCATTTTCCGGAAGAGCAAGTTAGTGTGTCTTCGCAAGCCAACCGCTTTAAGAAGGGAACAATGGGATCCTTCATTCGGTGCATGAGGATGAAAATCATTGTTGTGGCATCGTTATTAATTTTCGAGCTGAAACCAGAGGGGTTACGATCTTTGTCCCTTTGCAAGACAAGATTGAAAAATGCTTCGACGTATGCAAGTCCAAACTGAAGGACCGCTACGCAGAACCGTACGATCGTTCGCTGGCTCAGAAGGAAATGAAATCTCGCCAACCTGATGGGGCAAGCTGTGGAGTCGCCGTGCTTGTGTTCTTTGAGTGCAAGCTTCGTGGTATTGCACTGCCCCCGAAACCTTCACTGGTATTTATCAGACTGCGTTACCTGCTCAAGTGCATCCTGTAACTACATGTAGGAGGGTTTGTTAAAAAGAGCGGTTACTTCTTATCATTTTATACTATACGTTGGTCAAATCTATATCTGATAAATTAGCGTGTTAATGCAGAGTAGCGTAGTTTGCATGCCTTGTGCTACGTTGGGGAAAAAAGTTTCTATCTTGTAAAATGGGTTATTACAAATTGTCCATCCAGTGTAAATGGGCTTTACACTGCATACGGGTTCAGTAGTCTTCTTGAGCACTTCTGACAGCTTGAAATGTCTTTCGACATTAACACTAAGTGATGTGTACATTCGAGCTACATTACCAGCACTACCTCACCTTCACGCAACCTGAATTAACCGTGGAGGACTGGTAATTGAAACGATGAAATTTATGAAACCCATTTGTCTAGCCATAGCATAAATTACCGGTTATTTATGATGCATGTGCCCTCGGCACTGCCCTTTGTGGCGCGTAGGTACCTTTAGTCAATCATGTACATTCAAGTTCACATTCAATGTACCGAATTCCCTTCCTTATGACATTCAGAAAAGTGTTCGCACATAGACCAGAAATTGCATCTACTGTCTATCCCAAGTGTTTATAAAAAAATATCGCTCCGCTTCTAACCTTGTAGCGTGTCTGCCCGTCTGTCAATAAGTCCGTTCGTTTCCTTTCTTGCTGCTTTTTCCTGCCTTTTCGCATGGCTACACCTGACCTGTCTTATATAGTTTCGTCCCATCTTACCGACCGCGCCTATCTTTCTAGCTCGACCTAGCTATGCCAAAATTACAAAAATGTCCAAAAGTGTCACACAATTAACTCGCGCCCTGATTGGACAATACCTGCCGACCTGCGACACTGACTGGATCTGTTGCACGATCAGACCGCCTCTCGCCCTCGCGATTGGACGTGATGTAAACATTTTTTCGATCACGAAACGCACCGATTGGATGTAAGCACCAAGGCGAGCTGTGCTGACAAATTCGTACTTACATTTATATACGCAAAACCTGTCGTATGTATTGCAAATCGGGCACAGTAACCACTTTATTTTGTACGAGCTCTGCGATGTTATTTTCCACACACTTTTCAAAGTAAAGACGATATTTATACTATTAATATTATTAATATTTTTTCACAGGCGGCATTTGTAAGAGCTCTGCGATGCTATTTTCCACACACTTTCTAAAGTAGAGACAATAGTATTTCTTACATTAAAGTAGGCTTCACGACCAGCGCTTTTTGTAGGGACTTTGCGAAATTTGTTTTACTTCACCTGGCACTCTCCACTGTCACCGTGCAGCGAAGGCGCCCGGATGCACGGTCATTGCGCTATCTGCTCCCGTGCACCGCACCGATCAATGCATGCGCGCACGGTACATAGTATTTTAGTCACTTTTATTGCATGTAAAGTATGTATTTTTGTAGATAGTTTAAAACAGTATTATTATAGAAAGTGCAAAAAATTAAATAAAAAAGCAATTTTTATTTTGCCTAAATAATAAGTATCAGCCTTTTATTACCGTGCTATTGGCTAGTATTTGGACGCAAGTATTGGTTAAAACAATAGAATTTGTTAACTAACTCACAGTTTGCAAAATGGTGGGCCCTACGTGCAAGCAATGCGAGGCGAAGATTGACCCGCTTCTGCTGAACCCGCAGCGGTCTACGATGGATTCCCGGGCGCGTTGCGTCTGCTGCGGGAAGCTGCTGTACGGCTACGCATTCCGTACAATCAGCGGGCGGGACATCGTGCGGCGCTGTATTACCTGCGAGAACGGTCCAAAAGCGGTTAGGTTCTGGGAGGAAAAGTCCCCACCACCTGATTCGGCCGAAGTGCGTCGCCAGGATAGCCTGGCAAACATCATGAAGGCGATGGGTCCTGACTGGTACCCCAAGAAGAAGAAGAAGAAGAAGAAGAAGCGCAGCCGCCATCGCAAGTTGACCGCCCGAAACGTCAAGTACATCGAGCAAAAGAAGCAGCAGAAGAGTTACATAGTTTTGTATACTGGCTGACGGTGCGAGGCTTGGGGTCGCACAAACGGTAAACTGACTACGACGCTGCCAATAGTGTTGACACACCTTCAGAGCGTAGCGCGTTTCATATAATAATTAGCGCGCGGTATCTACTGTGTACGTCTGCAAGCTGGCCGTCCTTATCTGCATACGCGTCACCGTAGACGGCAAGTACACTCACTCGTTTGGACACAAACTAAATCAAGATATATGTACCACTAACAAACTATATTACACTTATGCGCGCTCAGAATTGCAACTACAATATTGCGTGCGCACCACGCGCGAAAAATAAGCTGCTGTCTATATAGACGTGAGGACGTGTGCGGTATTGTTGACCATACAGGTGTGCGTGGCAGGTCGACGAGTCTGTACGCAGTACTATACTTTAACTCCCTGTCCATAATGGAAGAGCTAGGAGCTCGGCTAAGTCGCGGGTGACTATAAGGTGTACCCGCCGCGCGCGTATATATCGCGTTGACTACAGCTTACAATCGCGCGGCTAGCTTGCCAGTATCACCGCGGTATGACCTGTGTCCAGTTAGTGACGCGCTTGGTCATTTAGACTGATAAGCACAGTAAGCTAGCACGATGATACAGAAGTACCGAGAAAGCAACGGTAACCCCATATATAGGTGTTGGTTACCACTAGCACGTGGCTTATACACTCATGGGCGACCTAGGAGATGCACAGACACATCAAGTAGCACGTCGAGCTGATAAGTAGGCAGCGAATGTACGTCATCTTATGCACGAGCTACTATTCGATTCAAGTTTAAATATCACTACACGCTGATAATCTGCCTACAGTCATGTGGCTTGGTGTGCTCTGCATATTTATCAGATCCAGTAAATACTACTCGAAAGGATCTACGCCACTTTGTCAGTCAGTAACTATGCAAATAAGTCGGTATGTAAGTCAACAATGCTCATCATATCATTCCTGAGTTAGAACACGAACGGAGCTGATTATTAAAGCCAGTCTGATTTATTGTGTCGAGTCAGCGAACATCGGTACATTTCCTTCAGAGATATCATGATATTATGAGCTCAGCGAGCCAAATCGAGGGGGGGGAAACCGGTAATTTTGGTGAATATCGGCAGATACTAGCGGTTATACACCATTTATTGCATGGGAAGACGATTAAAAGTTGCTTTACCGGACTGTCACTTCAGCGATATGGTAGAGAATACCTCTCGACTTTACGAAGTACTACCTGTCGCCAAATTCACCCGATGGCGTGGGATCCTAATACATTTTGGTAGACGTGTTCTCTATCTCTAAGTTTTTGTAGGAATCTCTCCGATTTATGTTGAGGTTCAGCGATCCAATGATAATGACCCACATTCTGAATAAACTTAGAGCGAGTTTGCATGAAGCGCACTCAGCGGTGGTGCCAATTCAGGAGCGAAGCGCTCAATCGAAAATTAAGACAAATCTCTTCCAGAGTAAAATGGTGTTCATCTTTCAGACCACTTTAAACACTGATGGTAACGACGAAACCTTACCCTTCGCAACGATTTAGAGTCATGTCTACCTTTGCCATGACGATCAACAATATTCAGCCGAGCAAGATCTATAATACGCATATCCATCTGTAGTCGCCAGTTGGTAGATATACATAGCGATATGTGATGTTGTCAGAGCTGACTTCAAGAAAAGCGAAAGATAGGTAGAGATGCGGTTGGTGAGGCAGAACATGTGAGCACTAAGGATAGTGTGTACAGTGGCTTTTAAAGCAAATGTAGTAGAACACGGAATATAAATTAATTGTATCTTTGATTTGAGTAAGGAATCAAAGCCCACCACAGCGCAGCGGAGGTTGTCGTCCCTCTTTACACCAACCAACCATGCCCTAGTATTGATGTATAATAGATTAATATCTGCAACGGCTCGGAACATAGATAAGGATTTCATTCACGATGTCATTTACATCCTCGTGCACTAGGGTACGTTGTGCGCCGCTGTGAAGGATGACACGAGGTTCTTCCTCACTTTACGGCGTCGGCCTCCAGGAAGTCGTGGTCGCCCTTTTGGGCGGCGGCGTTACGTAGGAGCCATCCGATGGCAAAATGCACAGACAGAAAGACGGTTCGTACGACTGAATGCAATAACCAAGGATGCACGGAGGTATTTCCCGTTCGGCCGCTGATTGCTGAAACCCTCCTGAATGCCATAACAAATAGTACGTTCACCTAACTCCCACTTAAGTACGAGCTACCGTTTTTTTTCACTTCCTATATTTTTAATCCAAACGAAACAGACCCTAATACATGTAGCTTTAATGAAATGATTTACTACTATTACCACGAATGACATACTTGGCAAGTATATATTACTTCGAAGTAGTCGCAACTACTGTAATATAATAGTAGCATATCATAGCACGAATGACATTTTAACTACTACGTAGTATCTACTAGTCGCAGCCGGTTCCTCTTGCGATCACGAGACAGGAAGATGATGGATATATGCTCATGATGCTTACCATGACCGTCCAGCACAATGAGATCGTAAAGTACGAGGCGGTCAAGATACCCATCAAGCGACTGGAGCCACCGTTGAGCTTAAGCTGCTGAGTCTCAGCCTTTTGGCGAGGAAGCAGCGGCAGAAAAATAAGTCCAGCCAGATTCATGGAATAACGGATAATGAGTACGTACGTCACCTCCGAACGTACATGTGTGCTATCATCAACAATATTGGCGTTGGTCACGTCGAAGTTGCTATCCACATTCTTGGACAGAGTACTAGCCAAGGGGATTGCGATATTGGCAATCGACCCCACTAGACCATATACTGCTCCTTCGTTACCCTCTCCAGCCAATTCTATGATCACGTACGTTCCGATCACGAAAGAAATACCATAAGGAAGGTTTTCCACCACAGGAGCTCCTAGCCAAAACCACTGGTTGCGAAAGATATTCCACGTCGTCAGCATAGTGACGACGAAATCCAGTACTGTTACCGCTACGATCGTGATAGCGTGCATTGATCTCCAGCTCCAGTGAAGACCATATTTACCAGTGAAGTAAAGAGTGACTGCGAAGATACCGTTGCCAATAATCGCTATCACCTTCTGGTTGAGTGGTGTGGCCCCGGCCCAGTACGGTTGCATCGCGTCCGCACAAGTAATGGTGAAGTTCTCGAAGATGCCCTACCAAAACTTGCAGGCGATGACTTGGTACATCGCTCGTAACTGCATGAGATGCCACAGCTCGGCCATGTAGTCGCAGAAAACTACACCGGGGTGGCGGTCCTCTACTATGCAATACCACGAGAGGGGGTTACCGGAAGACAGCAGATTGTAAGAATGACCATGAACTGTGGAAAGCTATGTGAGAAGTTGAAGTCGCCTCCATAGTCCTTGCCGTTGAAAGCCAGGCCCGTGAGGATACTGGAGATCGTCACGAAAGCCGTACGGACCATGTTGATTGTGGTCTGAGTGTAACCACGCGTAGCCTCCGGCTCACGTTGGGCAACTTCCACCATCATAGCGTCGGCTGCCACGTCGGCACCAACGTAACCGATCGCAGCGATCATCATGAGAACGATGAACTTGCCGCCTACTTGGTGGGCAGCCTCGTTAAAGGTTGCGGTGATTTCGGGGGTCAGTTCCTCCTTCTCCATTGTCGCGTACTTATTGTCCGGGTAGTACGGAGCACCGGCATCCATGCACGCCATGACGAGCAGCATCGCGAAACTCAGCGTCCAACCGATAACCATGAAAGGACGGCGTCTATAGCCCATTATCGGCACTCAGTCCGTGATCATACCGTAGAATATCTTAAACGACCAAGGCATGTTGAGCAACACGACGGCTGACACCACCTGAGTGCCTTCCATGTTGAGGTAGTTAAAGAGGAACGGGTAGACGGTGCCGGGCAACGTCCCGAAGATCATACCCACGGCGGCGTACTGTGCAATAAGCCCGATGTATTCGCGGCTCCAAATGTTGACCTGGCCACCGTCTCGAAGAGCTCCACCCTCAAATTCGTGGGTGACTGGGTGTTGAGGTACCATTCGTTCTCCTTCCGAGGGGAGGCGGGAAAGGTTGGTGGCGGCCCATGTGCCGGTGCCAGCAGGTCTATTTTTCTGGCGTGGCGTCGGTGTTCATTGCTTCTTCAAGTAGCGGTACTATGGTGCCTTGTGGATGCGTAAGCAAACCTGAGAATTGTAGGAGTCTCATCAGATTGACCAGCTG